TGCCATGACCCCACTAATATAGCAAGGAAAACCCCTATTTCTAATAGGATGCCGTTCACAGATATAGAGGTTGAGTCCAGCAGAGATTTGGGTTGTTAATAGGTACCATCAAGTTAGTTCCTCTCTAAACCCTGCCCAGTCCTACACCATCCTCACCCTGACTGTTGTGTGGAAGCCCGTTGTTGCAACCATTGTGTCAATCCATCTAGTTAGGAAGGTTTTCCTTTCTTTTTATTGCCCCTCGACTTCACCAAGATGAAGTCTCTCCATCTTCACTTCTAAGAAACATTCTGGCTGTGCTTCCTCCGAGACAGATCAGTTTGTACTTTGTACTTTTGGCAGTCCCTGGTTCCCTCAACATTCTCTCCAGCACCTCAAGGGAGGGCACGTAAGCCACAACCTTCGCTCTGGTAATTTTTCTCTGGAATCTTTGGGTCATTCACTTGCTGTTTAAAAGATTAGATTAGGATCGGGTGCAAGAGGGACTCCGGGCCTATTGGATGCTTGTTTTTTGTTTGTTTTTTTCAGTGAGAGGAAAAACAGAAGTGAGGTGTGTAGCGAATAGACCTGGAGGAGCCTGTGAGTGGGGAGCACGGTGGAAAGGAGTGTGAGTCCCAGCAGAGGGCCAGGCGACAAGTCCTTGACTCTCCACCAGGGGTCTTCAGTCTCATGCTGGCCAACATCTCCTTTGCATTTGATTTCCTCGAGCATTTCATTTTACAGTAACGCAGGGCTTTAGAAAGTGCCCGCGCCAAGGGGAGTGTGCCGGAGACTATTTAAGGAGAGGGACCCTTTCCCTTTCCACAAAAGCTGAAATAGCCCTTAACTGTGAGAATTCACAACAGCTCTTGCTGCTATGCAAATCAGGGAGCGGCTTGTAGGGTGGCCTTGTTTATTTTGGTAAATGTGTGGGTAGGCAGGCGAGGGAAAGGGGCTGTTTAAAATGCATTTGAAACTTTTGAGTTTCAAGTTTTTGAACCCTGCAAGAAGGAAGTAAGAATACCCAGGAAGCAAGCAAAACAAAGCTTATTCAGAAATAGTGAGACATAAATATATTTTAGCAAATCTCCTTAAGGTCACTTTAGGAGGGGATGTGAACAGAGGGTTGGGAACAGTTTCCTACTAACTATACCCTACCAGTCCCTGGA